CACATGGGAGATCAAAGAAGACTGTCACATAAGCAGGATTACTGGTAGAACAATATAACGTAGTTACTGTTGAGCTACCAAGGGGTCTTGCTATCCCCCAAGACTTATGGTCAGTCCACAGGCTTGGCAACTCATTCCCTCAAGGGAAGATGTTTCCCTAACTTTGCCCCCATGTATGCTGTATTATACATATTCAAGGATCAAAAAGGGGGCTACCAGAAGTTCATGGAAAAATGGAATTAAATGACAATGGAATAATAGTCTATTATAATTGAAAGAGGCAATCAAGGTATTCTTACCTAACATTACCATAAAGGACCATATTACATGATCACAAGTCAGAATCCTTTCATTTCTGCCTGCAGCTCATTTTACATCATCATTTTACAGATACTTAATCACTTAGAAAAACAAAAAAAGAAGATCCTACTAGAACCTGTGCCAGAATAACTAGTTAAGAAACATAGAATGATATGATAGAATGGATGCCAAGGCCAGGTCCCCTGAGCTCAGATGACCTTCACTGATCAAACCACAACCATTTTGAATGTCCCTGGTTAGCAAAAACAAGACTTCCATTTCACGGAAAACATTTTCTGGAATACTCATTATTCTTCTGTGGTCCAGATCATCCCACAAGTAGATGACAGTTTTGCAGATAGTAAGTTTCCAGGTAGGAATCTGAAATTAAGATTTTAATGAATTCTGAACAATACTATTCAGCAGTCAGGAAAAGATACAAGGCCAACTACCCATACCGGGCACAATCCCTGAGGGTTTCCTCTTTGCGTGTGGTTCTCTGGAACAACATTCATCCTGGTTGTGCAATCAGCAGCGCTAGCGTTTTAAAATTCAATCTAGTACATACACACTCTCAAGAGGAAAGGTAGCAATAAAAGATTGTTATTAACTAGGCACAAATAAACCCGTGTGTAAAGTTCTCTCATAAGATGTAATGGTATGTTATTCTCTGCCCCAATTCAATACTAAGAGAAGATATTGAATTTCTCTGTAGTGAAAATAAAGGCATCCTGTATATCAGTAGTAGTAAGAGAGAAGGTTGAACTGACTAATAACATTATGTGCTCACCTAGAATGCTCATGTGCTGTGCTACAATCAAGTGCCAAGGAATCCACAATTTCTGTGTATGATTGTTTTGAATATTTGTTTGTAATATGTGAACTCTGAGCTTCATGGCTTGGGATTTTAACCCTCAAAACAGGAAGATCCTATCATTTCAATCAGTAAATTGAATGGCTGTCTTTATACTGAAGACTGAACACATTTCACATAATCCCTTCTTTGAACTTCTATAGTATTTTACTTACACATCTTACCTTACTTATAATAACCCGACGGGTTACACAAAGCTGTGTGTCTGTCTTCTCTGCACACTATATGCTGTTGAGAATAGAATTTGTGTTGGATTTATCCCTGTATTCTTCCAGAGCCTTTTAGTGTCTGCTCCACAGATGTTTTGATACTTAGTTTTAATGACACATATGTTAAGTATTTTCCAGTTTTAACATGTTATTAATTGGCATATATTTTCTTCCTCATGTCTGGTAACCCTCGCTTTTGAAACATGGAAAAAAAGACTGACAGAGACATGGTGATTTTGACGGATTTGTAGGCAGTACGGGATTACCTAGCAAATATTTGATTAAGAATTTTATGAACATTCGAGAAAGACTTTTTGAGTTTTCCATTGTTTAAGGGAACTCAACCATGTCAATTAGGCGAGAAAAAGAAAGCAGAGGCATGGTATGTGTATGCCAGGAAGATTGCCCTGTCTTTTTTTGGGGGGAGGGGGGCAGGCGTGAAAAAGACCCAGTAGCCAAGCCCTAACTCTAAGACCCAGGAAACATGACTGAGCCATAATAGTCCCAAGGCCTACCTTTCTTCTTTGACACTTTGTCTGAGAAATTGTCCATCAAATGTTCAAGACGTAGCCGATTCAATCCACCTGGCTATATGATTGGCTATGAAATTTGCAGGGACCGGTCCAAAAAAAAAATGCAGGGTCCCTTGTTCAAACAGTATCAGGAATTTCAAGAGGGTGACAATAGAGCATGGTGCTCCACTAAGTATGAGGCCCTGCTTAACTGAAACTGGCCTTGTTCTGTCTTCAAAGAGTTTCCCAGAGAGTGGGCAACAAAAGGTCGGCTACAAAAGATAAAAAGGTACAATTCAAGTATTTAGGAGCTGTAGGAACCCAGTAAATCTTCCTAACTTTGTAAAACCTTTACCAGAGAAGATGAAAGTTAAGTTCATTTTTGACAAAGATATTCCAGACTGAAGGAGCAGTGCTAAAGAGAGACTGAATTCAGCTCACAAGTTTCAGGAGTAGGCTTACTCTGAAGGCAAGGGGAGTCAGTGAACATGACGGTGACGTGATTGAGGTTCAGGCCAGAAAGGTGGAGGTCAAATCCTATGGGAAAATCAGGTTGAACAATTACTAGTGCCTACCATGTGCTAAACGTTTACCTCATATCATCGTTTAAAAAACCCCACACCAGTCTTGTAAATAAAGTCACTCCTGTTTCCCAAGTGGGTGAATTTAGATTCAGAGCAGCAATGAGTCAAGCAGCCCTGATGATATAATGCAGGGCTGCTACCTGCAAGAGCAACCACTTGAACCTACCAGGTGGTCCTTGGAAGAAAGATGAGGCTGCGTGGCCCTCTAAAGATTTATAGTCTTTGAAACCCACGGGGACAAGTCGACTCTGTCCTGTAGGTTGCTATGAGTGTATGGCACACAGTTTCAGGGGGAAGAAAAGCAGTTATTATAAAAGTTATCATTGAATATGTGAATTGAAAAGTAAATTGAATATGACTCATGGCGACTGAGCGTGTGTCAGAGTAGAACTGTGCTCTGTTGGGTTTTCAATTGCTCTTTGTTTGCTTGGGTTTTTTTGGTGATTGGTCATCAAACCCTGCTTCTAGGGTTCCTCTGAGGATACCAAAACTTCCAACCTCTTGAGGAAGCTAACTGAGTACACAGGCATCCAATAAATATTTTAGGAGTGGCAGATGAATCTGTTTGTATTAAGGTCCAGGATTAAGCCATAGACCAAAGTTCTTTGAAGCACGCTGTTAACCTCTCAGTGCCCTTACAAAAATAGTATTATTGATATAAAATTCACATATCATACACTTCCATAGTGAAGTTGCTTTTAAAAAGAGTTGAATATACACCACAGCAATCAGTTCTAGTGCTCCCTCCTCCCTCCCGCATTCATTATCTATTCCCCATCCCCATCACTCTCGCACGCCCCTCCTCAATGAACCATCACATCAGTAATTGTCTCTATGCATCCACTCCTCTGGTGCTTCATAAATTGGGAAGGAAACAAACAGAAACAATAAAAAATGAAATGAAAAAGAAACACATCAAAATAATATAAAGGTTAAAACAAAGACTAAGAGAGAAAAGAGCACGAGCAATATTAAAATAAGCCAGAGAGGAAATTTCTGTTCTGGAACAAGTGAGAAATATCTAAACCTAGAGCAAATTAAAGTTGGGTCAAGAAAGATGTCAACTGACCAACTATCATATTATACCATCGTTCCACCCACCATAATCAACCGTACTACAATCTTTGTCTGAAAGCAAAGTTGTTCACTGCCCTCTACTGTGGCCAGAGGGTCTGCCGAAGGCTTAACCTGACTTGATATTCTGCAGAGGCTTTGGAGGCTCCCACAGTCCTCTATAGCCTTCTGCAATGGGGTATTCACCAGTGCAGCTCTGATACTTTCCCCTTCTTCATATTTGTGTTTTGTTAGTCATCTTTGGATCACACAGATTGGTGCGCTTCTTCCATGTGGACTTGGTTGATGCATCACTTAGGTAGCTGCTTGTTTGAATACAAACCCTTTAGACCCCAGACAGATGATAGCCGGGCACCATCTGCTTTCTTCACCACACTTATCTTCAGTGATCTCTTGATGAAGGCGAGCATCAAGCCGTGGTCATGTTATATGATTAAATAAGAACGAACTCTTGTTCCATTGGGGCTAGAACTCTCCAGATCTCTCATTTCTTTAGCTCCACCCCACACATCCTCACATGCCGGAAGTGGGATGGCTAAAAGTGCTTCCGGGGCAGGAAAGGTCCGCCGGCAACATGGCGGCCCCCTTGGAACTCAGCTGCTGGGGAGGTGGTTGGGGGCTCCCGTCGGTGCACAGTGACTCCCTGGTGGTGCTGGTGAGGCCGCGCGCGGACCGGCGCGCGTGAGAGGGGGCGGGGCCAGAGGGCTGGCGTGCGGCCCGGCGGCTCCCTGCGGCGCTGCGGGGCTGCGGTCATTGCGACGCGGTTCGTGCGCCGCCCGGGGCCCCGCGTCCCCCGTCGAACCTGGCCCGTGACCCTGCCTGGGGCTTGCGGGAGCCACCTGGCTGCTGCGCGGGGCCTCAAGCTGCCCGGGCAGCGGAGCCCCAAGCTGGCCCTGCGCCCGCCCTCCACGCCCCGTCCGTTAGGGCGCGAGGTCCCCTTTACAAGCCGGGCCGCTGGTGTGTGCGCCCCTGGCGGGGGTCTGGGAGGGTCTGGGAGGGACGGGGCTCCCCTGAGACCCTCTGTGAAGTCCAGCTGCATTACATACTCCACCTGCGCATTACGCACTCGATCTGAAATGTTGCATTGCAAACTCTGTTTCAGGCTTATGCCAAATTTTCGGGGGCGCCTTTGAAAGTCAATGTCATAGATAACACCTGGAGAGGTTCAAGAGGTACTGTGCAAACTTTTCAATCCCGCTCTCTGCCCTCTATACATTCTCCCTTTTTAAAGCCATGAGACGTGACCACCGAATGAATACCTTGAGGTTCTGTTTTCTTTGTACCATGACCTTGGCCTTGTGTTGCTTATGGTTTGATTATTCTGAGTAATGCCTCCATGTGTAAGCCAAGGAAGTGTGGAAATTATGAGAAAGAAAACTGCGCTAGAACAGCGCTTTGTGAAATCGAGAAGAGATTAAAAAAAAAAGATAGATGGTCTTACTCATTGTTTCCTCCATCAGCTGGGTAATTGGTGCCGTTTTCAGATTAAGCCCTCCTCACAGTCCATCTAAGTGCCTAGTTGTATGTCAACTCTTTTCTGATTCTAGGTGACGTGCCAATTTTGACAACTGAAGACAGTACTGTTTCTCAGCCGGCAAAAATACTAAACTTTTTAAGAAAACAGGTTGGTAGTTTCTTTTGAAGAAGCCTTTTAAAAAATTCAGCTTTTGTTTGTGAGGTAGTTTTTGTTTGTTTTTTTGGGGGGGGGAGGGAGTCAGCTCATTAGACCTGAGAATCATTGCTCCCAAAATAGGAATTTTACTATGATTTGAAAGTTATATGAAGTATAGTCAATTTATATTTTTATCCACTTTATTTGTCTTTTATTGAAGTTTAGGTATAAAGCCATTTTATCCCGTTCGCTATCACCTGATTTGATAGGATTTCCACGTTAGTTACACAATTGCTACATGTCGTTCTGGGCTAAGTTCCCACCAGCCAGCAGTTAACTTATTTTTAAAAAGTATGTAATCAACTGAGAGTTGCAGTGGAATGTTTCATGAGAATATAATTTAGGCCTATGGATTAACGTGTATAAATATGTATAAATCTTTTAAACATGAAAAGATTTGTACATGTGCCTAAGTTATCATTGTTTTTCCAATGCTTTTTTTCTGGAGTCCCATGTCAGTTGAATTTAGAGCGTTTTTAAATGGGAAGGCTTTTAAAAATAGAATAATTAGAACTTTTTTGTCTCATTAGTAAGTTTCCGTTTACTAAGCCATGCTACATGCTATGTACGAAATTCAACAATGAGCCACCATTGACATAACAGGAATTAATTGAAAGTTACCACTGACATCTTGAGCTTACCGTGTACATGTCATGCCGTGCTCTGAACCTTAGGTTTGTCAAGTAGCAGTTTTCACTGGATTTGTGTATCGTTTCAGACATTGGTGAGGAAGATTAGGAATCCTAATTTGTTTCGTTTCACTTCTTTGGTGTGTCCTTTGACTCCTGAGGTTCTTTGGCTTTCTGTCTTTGACTAGAAATATAACGCCGATTACTACCTCTCGGCAAAGCAAGGGGCGGATACCCTGGCGTACATTGCTCTTCTGGAAGAAAAGCTTCTCCCTGCAGTGGTGAGCAGTCATACATTGACGGGATGTTTGGGACCTAGACGAACAAGTTTGTAGTCTAATGAGAAGAATCATAATTTTAAAAGGCTTTTTAAAAAAACGCGGGATTTTCCTGTGTGCATTCATCTTGATTCTTTCATATTACTGTGAAATAGGATTCCGCTTGACATTCAACTAGTTTACAAACCAAATAAAAAGGAAGACAGTAACATCTTGGACATAAAATTTCGTTGTGGAAGATGGAACTTGTTGCTGCGTGTATGCAATCGACTGAACTGTGAACCATTCATTTGCTAAGAATGTCCTGATTACCTGCTGTGTGTCAGGCCACATCCTAGGTGTCTGGGGTGGAGTAGTCAACAAACACGTGTTTAAAGTGATCTTGTGTTAATCCTTGAGTCATTTGTTCGCCACTTTATGCACACACTTTTGTGGGACACTTTCACATTGAGTGGCATATACATCTTTCTTTTCTGTAAAAGAACAACTTTCTGTCTTTTCCTCCTTCTCTTGGCAGCTTCACACATTCTGGGTTGAGAGTGACAATTATTTCACTGTAACAAAGCCATGGTTTGCTTCACAAATTCCTTTTCCCTTGAATTTGATCCTGCCTGGAAGAATGTCGAAAGGAGCTCTGAACAGGATTCTCCTGACCAAAGGAGCGCCTCCTCTCTACCACCTCCAAGAAGTGGAAGCACAGGTAGGGTCTGGGTGACTCGAGGTGCAAGAGCTCATGAGAGAGAGCAGACAAGGCTCCCTCTAAGATACCTGTGTAGAAAGCCTTTTTAAGGATGTCATTTCATCCTTATTAGATATACAGAGACGCCAAGGAATGCCTAAATCTTCTGTCCAAGCGATTAGGGACCTCTCAGTTTTTCTTTGGAGATACGTGAGTACATTACAGTAAAAGTCATTTCCATATTTTGTGCCCATATATTCAATGAGCAGTTATTCAAGGGAAGTTTCCTGGCCCCTAGTTAAAGGTGAATGTTCACTTACATAAGAAAGCTTTCATGGCTTTTGTGAGTAGGAATGTTTCCATAGGTGGTTGTTATCATAGCCTGACTATGCTTTCTTTGCTCCTTTGCTTTAACACAACTCTTCATTCTTTGTAGGCCTTCTACCTTGGATGCCTATGTGTTTGGTTTCCTGGCACCACTTTATAAAGTGCACTTTCCCAAAGTTCAGTTGCAGGAGCATCTGAAACAGCTTTCCAACCTGTGCCACTTTTGTGATGACATCCTAAGCAGCTATTTTAGGCTTAACCTGACAGGTAAGTGTCTCATTGCATACTAAGTATGAAAATCAGTTCATAGCTCACATCATCAAAATCCATTCCTTATTTCAATGAAGACGTTTGTGGATTGTGCTTAGCTGCTGGTTTTTAGCTTTTCAAAGAAGCTACATTTTTTCCAACTTTCTTTGTGTTCCTTTGTATGTTAGACAAGAAAGTCTATTCCTTTGGACTTTATGCATAATTTCTTGATTCTTGGTCTTCAAACATCGCCCCTTTGAAGTGGGCCCTTTTCTTTGCAAAGACTAAGGCACAGGTATTTATTGAGTCCCTGCTGAAAGATAACTTTTGTCCTAATGCAAATGGGCAGTTCCTTTAAATCACTCTTACCTGCTGCTTCTAGCATTTTCCTGCGTGAACAGAAAGCAGCAGCAGATTGCTTTGGGTGAGGGGCGTGCCCATGATTCCACCACTTGCAAACTGAGTCCAGCAGACTGGAGGTATAGTAAACAGTGAGCACCTGCCGCTTAGCTTTGGGGAATGTGGACCCATGCACTTAACTGATAGGGATACTAAATATGTGTTCGGGGAGTTGGCTGATGAAATATTACTTTTAAGGACCAGACGTCATAAACAGCTAGCTTAGGTTTATTTTTGTGATGGCTAATTATATAGGGAAGACCATGTCTGAGAGCCATGAAATTAACCAGCCAAAAGGTTGGCAGTTCAAAGCCGCCCAGAACCACCTTGGGAAGCAGACCTGGAAATCTGCTTCCCAAAAGTCAGAGCCTTAAAAATCCTCTGGCACACTTCTCCTCTGGACACGTGGAGCTACCAGCAGGAGGAAGAGACCCATTGGCAACTAGCAGCTACCTTGTGTCTGTTGACTGCTGGTCCCCAGACCTGGCTGGTGCACACCCAATGCAGAATCTTGGGTCCTACTGCAGACTTACTGAAATGCAGTCCCTTAGCAGGGGCTCCAAGAACCTGTATTGTTTAATGTCCCTCCAGCTGGTTGGGATGCCTGGTAGGTAGTTGTTTGGGAGTTGCTGCCGTAGAAGCCATCCTGTAGTTGTAATCACAGACCGATTTGAAATGGTTGAGGTGGGGAGGGGAAGTTTCAGTTTGAGAAGGTAACCAGAACTGCGGTGTTCTTTCACTAATGACTCTGAGGAGCACGGTATTAATGAGCATGATGCTTTTGCTAACAGTGTCCCATCAGAGGCCAAAGTTCAGTCTTTTTGTTTTGGATTTGGTTTTGGAGAATTGCTTTCTTTCTGATTTTGCCTTTGAACGCAAATGGCTATTGTCTTTGCCTGTTTTCGTTTTTTGAGGAGTGGGGCACTTGGGAGGGTGGGTGGCCTCGAAATCCAGTCACTCTAAACAGCTTTATAGGTTTTCAAATGTTTCTGTCTTTCTCTGCTTTCTGTCCTGGCTCCTCAGGCGTCTCTCCAGCTGGACAAGACACGGTAGATGCTAATCTGCAGAAACTCACACAGCTTGTAAATAAGGAATCCAACTTGATTGAAAAGGTCAAGTTTACTTCAGTCGTTACTTTATAGTAGTTTAGTATGTTCCTTTCTGTGTTTAATAATGTAATTTACTACACACATTAACTTTACCCTTTTAGTCTAGTTTTTGTTTTGTTTTTTAATAGTTTGTTTTCCAGAAAGCTGATGAAATATGCATTTACTAACATTGTAAAGAATGCAGTGTTTTCAAGCCAGTAGTAGGCTGATTGCTTTGGGGAAAGATTGGCTAATGGCACTGCGTTTATACTTACCTCACAATTAGTGCCGTGCAAGTCAGGAGCCTCGAACGGCTGGCTTTCAGCAAACCAGCTGCCTGCCTGCCTGCCTGCCTGCCTGCCTGCCTCTGTCTCTGAAGATGATCGTTTCTTGGGATTGTAAGCAGCGGGCATGTCTTCTTTATGTCCTTTTGTAGTTGCAGCATTGTAACATCTTTTTCTTCTGTCCACGTGATCTGCTTTTTTCTCCTCACCGGCCTTCGGTGTTCTAAATGTAGTCTACAGTTTTTCACCAGTGTGGATTTTCCCACCGTGGGCATGCTCCCTTAGTGCTAGAGATCATGATGAACTTGCGCGAGGAGAAAACCAACAATAGAAATCTTAAGGGTGATTCTAATTGGAAATATTCAAGAGCGCTACATCTTTTCTTCCAGCTGTCTGATAATTTTCCCTTGTACAAATGAATAAAACTTCCATTTTTTCATTAAGTGAATTGGCCAACCGCTCTTGAGGGCCGGTTGGAGGCGCTGTGCTGACTAGGTTTATGTGAGTTACCTCAGAGAAGCTGGGCAGCAGCTCTCTGTGTGCAGGCACTGCTGTCCCTGCCGTACAGGTGAGCATGCGGACCCTTTGAGAGTGGCTCATTTCCCATGTTCATTCAGCTGGAGGGAGAGAGGAGTTCAAGCCCCACACATCTGACTCCGGAGACAAGGAGATCTAAGGCTCTGGGATTATTCTCCAGAGGCAGCTAACTAATGATTGAGAGTATGTATCCATTATGAGTGGTTTGAGTAGTCAGGCGTTTCCTTCTCTGAAGAGGTTCTTTCTCTTTTTGTAGTAGTTGATATGTTGTCATTTGATGGGGTAACATTGTAAAACTCCTGAACTGACATTCTCATGAGCTGAGTTCAATCCTGAGCCCCTCTCCTGGGAGGAAATATATTGGCTGTTAAATGTGGGTGAAGAAAAGGTTCTTGGGACGTTTTTTAGACACTCCTTTGTTAGTTAAAACCCACCGTGGGATGAAGTCAATTTCGACTCACAGTGAGCCTTTATATCTCAGTGGTTCTCAACCTGTGGGTCGTGACCCCTTTGGGGGTCAAACGACCCTTTCACAGGGGTCACCTGATTCATAACAGTAGCAAAATTACAGTTATGAGGTAGCAGCAAAAATAATTTTGTGGTTGGGGGTGGTTCACCACAACATGAGGAACTGTATTAAAGGGTTGCGTCATTAGGAAGGTTGAGAACCACTGTTTTATAGGGTTTCCAAATCTTTACCAGAGCAGAAAGCCTCATCTTTTTCCCATGGAACAGCTGGTGGGTTTGAACGACCAACCTTGTGGTTAGAAGTCTAGTGCTTATCTGACCCCCACCCAAGCTCCTTTTGTTAGACAAAGGCTATCCAGTATAGTTTCTATTTTCTACATGTAGCAGATTCATAGCAGACCTGGAAAGGGAGTCATAATATACCTACTTGTACCAGAGGTCAAACCAAGAGGTCCTGTCACCACCTTGTAGTCTTCCAGTGTGAGCGATCACCATAAGTGAATGTGTCCTGACTGGGTTTGAGTCAGGCACACGCCCATTCCCACCCTGGACCCTCAGTCACACCTGTTCTTGAGTGAGAAGTGTGGTACATTGGTTGCTGTAAAATAGAACAACAGACATATTGATCAACGCTGTTGACCATTTGGATACAAAAGCTAGAGTATAGGTTCCCAAACATATTTGACCAACCACCCCATTTTCAGGGGAAAAAAGTACTGGGTGACCTGCTGGAAATTAAAATCTTTTGTACTACTGTAGACCATAATCCAGGGTAAAATATAGGTATCTGCTTTTTCAGCCACCCTAAATCATTTTGGCACCCCCCCACCCCCACCCCACCGCCCCAAGGGCCTGTGTCACCCACTTCAAGAAATAGTGATCTATTATCCATAGAGTTCTGTTGGAGGAACTTTGTTCTTGCAAGTAAAAAGACATCTTGACACTTTCGATTCGCTTGTTTACCAGGAGTCTTTTCTATCAATCTTTTGTTCTCTTTCCTTTCATGTAGATCCGGTACACCTCTTCTAAAACATTTCCCTTGTGCTTTGCAAGAGCATTTTGAGAACCCTAGGGAATGTTTTAAATACTCTGCACATATTCAAACTCTTAAAAAACAAACAAAACACTTGTCTATTAAAGCGGGTAACGAAGTTCCTTTTTCTTCTGATTTAGTATTTCCTATGGCACTTGCTTCCAAATCCATTATGAAATTCAGCTGCTAGGGAGGGTCTGGGTCTTAGACTTTGTGGGCTACCCTGGTGTATTAGTCTGGGTACTTTAGAGAAACAAATCCACAGCAACTCATGTATAAGAGAGTTTTATGTAAAGAAAGTGTACATCACGAAAACATCCCAACCCAATGCTGCCCAAGCCCACAAGTCCAACATTAACCCATTAACCCAACACCAGTCCACAAAGTCCTCCACCTCACAAAACAGAGGCAATGATGCCGACTGCAGGAGGAAAGCTGAGTCAGTGAACGAGTAAGCATCTCAGCACTAGCAGGGGTCTCCACACGGCTGCTCCAGGTCCCAGGACTGCATCGGGATAGGTCCATGTGGCTTCTCCTTGGGGATGTCTTGTAGGAAGTCAATCTTGCAAGCTGAAGCAGGGAACTGCTAAGGCAGCTGCACCTGGTGCAACCATCACAAAGCAAGAGACCTGAGAACTAGAAAGGCAAGGCTCACCACCCATTTATCCCTCCACCTTTCAATTAGCCCCACATGTGTGTATCGGCCAGGTTGGTACAATTAACTAACTCACCTGGCTATCATAGCTCTCAGTTACACAGACTCAGTTCTGAACAGAACTGAGATGCAGTTTTGTGACCCCTGAGAGGCAGATGTACTCTTTGGAGGAAAATCTGGTTCTCTTGGAGAAATTTGGAGAACATCAGGTTCTCTTCACAGCAGGCTTAGAACTAGGGTTTTGCACTGGTTTAAACCGGCTAAGCCATGACCACCACAGCAAAATTGGAGCAGACCCAAGTTTGTAAAGTGTGTGCTTATTAGAATGGGAACAATTCTGATCGAAGCCTGGACAAGAGACTTGATATAAGTGTAGTGAGCCTTTCAGGAGCCTGGTGTGGGTGTTTGGATTATCGCCAGTGCAAAAGGAGCCCTGGTGCCATCCAGGGGGTTAAGTGTTGGGCTGCTAACTGAAAAGGCAGAAATTTGAACCCATCAGCTGCTCCACAGGGAGAGTCTAAGCAGTCTGCTTCTGCAAAGATTGACAGCCTTGGAAACCCCAGGGAGCAGTAATGCTCTGGCCTGGACTGGGCAGATCTTTGGACTAGGTCTAAAGAATTTGCCCACCTTTCTGCGTCTTTTCTTATGTCTCTTGATTTAAATACAGGCTGCTGGAAAGAGGTGGGTAGAGTACAGCGCATTATGGAGAGAAGGGAGTCTGACTGAAAGAGCAGTAGTGTTGGAGCAGGAACACTGGGGCCCAGCCTCCCCCCTTTCACCAGCTCTGTAGCCCAGAGGAAATCACTGAACTTTTCCGAGCAGCATTTTGCTAATCTGTCAAATACGGAGTGATTGTGTCTGTTCTTTTCTTCTTCCCAGCTGTTGTGAGAATGAAATGAGCTATTGTGTGTGAATGTGTTTTGCAAACTCTGAAGTTTGGTGTGACCGAGTACTCCTTTTACACTCCCTTTTGGAAGACCGCTTACGCTGTACAGGTCAGTAGGGTGTTCCTCCTACGGAGTGACTTGAATTCTATGAAGGTTTCAAAAGATGGGCCGCATTGCTTTTTTTTAGGTATTGAGTCAGCTGGTATGTGAGGTGTGACATTTCAGATTCTTGTGAGATTATTTGCAAGGACAAAGGTCTTCCCCATAGCCCTAGAGATAGGGTTCTGTAGTCCTCTAGGCTGTAGCTTGGATGGGCAGACCACAGTCCACACGAGTAGTGTCAGCTGTCTCTTTTGTGCTTTCCACAGATGGATGACAATCTTCGCCAAAGCCCTCAACTTCCTCCTCGCAAGCTGCCCACCCTCAAGTTAACACCAGCAGAGGAAGAAAGTAATTCCTTACAACGGCCATCGCCCTGACAGCCGCCATGCTGTGTGCCCAAGCGTTTACCTTCGAGTCATATGACTGTCACAGAGTTCTGTCAGACTCAGTGTGTTCGGGCAAAAGAAATGCTGTCAATACGTCTAAGGAAGACTCTAGTCAGACAAAAGGAGCTTTTTATGTCCTTGTTTATTTTAATTAGGACGCTTATACTTCAGTTTGGCCATGCACTTTAAGTAACATCAAAGTGAACACTAAATGAACTTTGTGGGAAAATACATAGTACTGTATGTATATATATATATATAAAGAAGAAAAGAAAAAAAAAGAAAACCTGCTTGAATTTTGGCCTTGGTTCATGTGTCACTCACCAAAAGCTGCAATTCTCTTCTGAATGTGCACTCTTAATTTATTCAAGTTAATTTATTCAACTTACTAATATGGTTTTCGTAGATGAGTCTGAATATTTAATATGTGGCTATTTTACTGAGATTCTTCCCCACCCCCCACCCCTTCTATTAGAAATCTAACGCCGACTTTAGGAACTAGGAAAACTATAAATTACTTCCATAGAAAGGCCGGTTATTTAAGTTAAACACAATGAGCTCTTTAGTAATGCTCTCTTTAAGTCTAAACTTTTGGGGGTTTAGTACCACAGATGTAAATATTAAAGGTGGTCATGTACAGTATTCAATATGACATGACTATTTGCTTATGTGCTCAATATAGGTTAACAAGTGCTTTGATGTAGTTTCTTGGGCAAATGTGCCAGCTTAAGGCCTACGGATTTGTAGCACATCTTTAAGTCTAGTCATCTCTTCCGTGGTTGATTCCAGGAGAACTGAATGTGTTGGTTATCTTTGTGCCAGGCTGTAAAGTCCTGCTGAAATGTGCCCACCTGTTAAGTCACTACCCAGAAGGAACCCACAGCCAGAGCAGCAGAAGTGCCTACTGCGCATGCGTCTCCGAGCCGTGTGCTTTCAGGTCAGGTAGTCAGAAGCGTCATTTCTCCCCGCAGTTCCAGGGTCCAAAGGAAGAGTGGAAACAGCAAAGACTTTTCAGAGCTTGTTCTTTAGACCGGTTGTGGAAATGTTAAAGGATTTGCCACGTTGGTAATTCTATCTACAACAGAAACATGCTCACCTGAGTGGCTGAGGTGCTTCTGTTGTCCTAAGCACCGCTAATGGGTTTTTGGGATAGGACCATGCTTTTGATTAGTGTCTTCGGATATTAGCATGGCGCTCAGCAAAGCCTCTCGAGGCCTGCACAAACTCACATGGTAAGGATGCAAGCTTTGTGGTTGAGAGACTCATCTGATGTCATCTAAGCTGATGGCCCTCCGCTGTCTCTGGCCCTCACCCTACCACTTCATTCTGCAGTTAGGCAGCTGTTCACACAGGAGTCTTTAGGCCAGTGGTTCTCATCCTTCCTAAAGCTGTGACCCTTTTATACAGTTCCTCATGTTGTGGTGACCCCTCAACCATAAAATTATTTTTGTTACTACTTCATAACTGTAATTTATCAGACGACTCCTGTGAAAGGGTTGTCCGACCCCCCAAAGGGGTCGCGACCCACGGGTTGAGAACCGCTGCTGCTTTAGGCCATTCTGAATTTTTTGTGTGACCGTTTTGAATAAAAAGAGCACCTAGGTAGTCTTAAATCTTGTTCATCTTTTGAGATGCATTTGGGGATAGTACCTAATGAGCTTCACATTCCATCTATAATAGGATGAGCGAGTGTGTGTATGATGTGACATTAATCTTCAAAGGCGGGTTATTAGATTCTGGCAATCTGAAATCTACGTGACTATTTTATACTTCAGAATCATGACCGTGGGACTTTATTGTCCCCCAGGAGTGATGTATTTCGGAGAAGGGTGGTTAGCACATTAATCAGACATCTGTTTACGCTTTAGTCAGGGTTAGTCATGTTCAATTATGATTTATTTTAAGCGTTTCAGAAAGCATTTAAAGTGGCTTACAACTGTAGAACACATGTAATACAGAACTATTTAAAGTTAGCTTTGGGGGGGGGGTTTAGGAGAAAGATTCTATGAAGATTATGATCCTAAGGATTCTAAAATTGAATATTAAATTTAGCTCCAGGGTTCTCTGTGGGTAAAGTCAAAAGTAACACTGGCTTATGTATGCTTTTCTTTCAATAAAACTAATGTCCATGAGTAGGAAAAATGTGTTTAAATTTTTCTAAGACTGTTGCAAATTTATGTTCTTAAAATGCACAGAAGTCACTCCAAACCTGCCCTGTAATGTTCCTCACTACCATCAAGCACATTCTGTCTCAGAGCAGCACTGTAGCACAGGGTCGAACGGCTGCTGTGGGCTCCTGTTTACAGGAGTAGAAAGCCTCATCTCTTTCCTCTGGAGAAGCTGGTGGTTTCAAAATGCTAACCTTGTGCTTAGCAGACTGGCGTCTGACCCACTACACCAGGGCTTACTATAATGTTTAATGTACTGAAGAATTTCAATCCAGAGAAGTCGTTTTAGAATTACAAGTATCTGTCCTATTTTTAGAAGGAGCCCTGGTGGTGCAGTGGGTTAGTTATTGGGCCGTTAACCCCAAGGTGGATGGTTTAAAACCACCAGCTGTTATGCAGGAGAAAGATGGTGCTGCCTGTCCCGTAAAGATTTACATTATCTGGTACCTTATGTAGGATCACTATGAGGCAGAATCAACTCCATGGTAGTGGGTTTGGGCACTTCATCCACATATCACACAATTCAATAGTTCCATCATATTGAGCAGAACTGTATAATCATTAGCACAATCAATTTGAGAACATCCCCTGTCCCCCACTATGGTTAAATCGCTTTTTAAATGGGTTTGGTCATTTTTAGTTCAACTAAAAGAATGATAATTTGTTTCCATTTTGGTCATCTCTACTTTCAGTTGCCATTGACCTTACGTGATTACAGCCTTTGGGAACTCTGTAGGGTAGTTCTACTCAGAGAGACTCTGGAGGGCAGAGTAGAACTTCCCTGCAGGGCTTCCAATGCTATTAATCATTACAGAAATTTTCAGTCACAGCTAAGTGCTTTAACCACTGCCCCACTGGACTTGCAAGGAAGCCGGCACTGAGCACACACACTGCTGGGACCAGTCACGCATAATACAGGAGGCTGTTCTCAGACTGAGCTGAAAGCTTGTGGTCAGTCTGTCAGGATGTGCTTTAGATAAAGTAAATTTGCTGGGATATCGGGTCCACAGTCTGAAACCAAATACTGGACACTACTTCTTTTGATAGGTGATGATCAAGGATAAGAAAAAAGAGTATATGTGATCTATCTACAAGTTCTCATTAATTAGGAACATTCAAATAAGATTGCCTCCTCTCCCTCTCCCCACCAACAAAGTAAATAACTTTAGAGGACAATTAAAAAAAATTTTTTTTTCTGCAAAGGCTGGAATTAGTCAAATTTCAACATAGATATGTTTGCATTCCTTTGGGGTTGCAGGAGGATTGGTGATTTCACATTAAATCCAAAGCGAGCTTCTCAATTTCCATTAATAATTTCTGTTCCTTTAACAGTGCTTGATATATCTGGTCCCTCAAGCGCATGGACCTCCTCAGTAGAACCTAACAAAAAGAGGATCGACTAACAGCAGTGAGATACTTATTAGCAAGTAGCCCTGGTGGGACCATGTTCAATTGCTTAGCTGTGAACATGAAGGCCTAACAGATTTGAACTCACCAGCTGCTCTTAGGGAAAAAGATAAGGTAGTCTGCTTCTATAAAAATTACAGCCCTGGAACCCCTATAGGGAAGTTCTATTATGTCCTGTGGGGTCACTGTCAAAGGCAGTAGGCACACAAGAAAAGATCAATATTCCAGCTAGTTACAATTTTCAAAAGTACGAATGTGGTTGCAACTAAAGATCACAGAACAGTGATGGTATCTTAGAAAACACATCTGTTGAGGGAGCTTCATGTGATAGTGGTAGGATTTGAATTTTGTGGTGTTTCCTTAGAGCCTCTCCCGACCTAGGTTAAGTTTTTGGCAGCATTTTAGAAACTCCAATATTTGCACCCTTTTAAAATGGAGTGTGAATACCTAAATGTAGCCCGGAAGCTGATTGGTAGGTAAGTACCTGGGCTCTTTGAGGCAACTTATTTTTGCAATCTTGCGATTTGATCGTTACTTCAAATGAATGAGTTTCTTTTTTTTAAGCAAATATGATAAAAATAAGTTTATAATGATCTACATAAATTATGATTTAAAATTAATGTTTTAGACACCCTATTTTACTTAGGGGATAAACAATTTCATTCTTGAACTTGAAGGAAATAAAACCCCAAAGCTTGGGTTTCTTCCCAAATGCTTATCAAATTATCTTTTGCCTTACCTGAGGAAAAGAAAGCAAACCTAAAATCAAGAACTCTATCAAACATTCTCTGGTTTGATGTTTTTAATTTTACACACATATATAATTCATACATATATAATTCCCCAGTGGCCCCTGAGGTGCATGAGGATGACGTGTTGAAGAGTTCGTCCGCATGTTCTTTGCCTGGCACTAGTTTGCTCTGGAGCTCTCGTGGTCAGATATTCTGCTCCAACTGGGCTTTAATGAAGAAGGTTGGGGGCATGGCTGTGGGCCTTTTGATGTAAGTTCACAGGGATTTATTTAGTAATGGACTTTGTCCTAGTTTGGCTACATTTGTAGTTGAAATCCTGTAAGAGCAGAACTCTTTAATTGTATGGAAGTACGTGTTTGCTTCTGCAAATAAGCCTGTGCGTCTGCGTCCACTAAGGGAATTCTAGCAGCAGCATGGCTTTGGCCAACCTGATGGCCCTTTTGTCTGAGTCCTTGGCATTAAAAGTTACTTTTTTGCCTGTGTTCCTGTTCAGCTCTGTGGAATTTATATTTCTCAGTGTTTTCATCTTTCTTAAACAGATTATTAAGAAATTTGCTGTTAGTTACACAAAACTGAAGGTCAGTGGTCTTTGTCTCGGCAGTTAATGGAAGTGTCGTTGGGTTTCCACACTGCTGGTTTTCGCCGAGATGGAGGGAAACAGGTTTTAATTTTTGTATATTTTGCTAAAAATTTTGCAAGATAATTTAACTCGATACTCCTGTTGGGACAGAGCAGGGATTGGAAAACTAGGGCTCTCTAGCCATACATGCCTCTTTCAGTACGAACACGTGGCTCTGAAGTAAAATTGAAAAAAAATTCTAAAGAATATTCAGATAATAGTGATTTCATGTCTTTTAAAAAATACATTTATGGTTCAAATAACTTAAATTGTGAAGGACAGGATTGGCTCTTGCATCTCAGAAGTTTGCTGACTCCTGGGATAGAGGATTTGCCCTTGGCCTTGGTTACCTGGCCAGACTTCGGCTGTGCCACCAGTTACCGTTGAGCACAGCGTCCTGGAACAGTGATCGAGAACACTGAGGGGGGTCTTGGAGGTGTAGGTGTGTGAGTGGAAAGGGAATCTTAGAGTATTCAGAGCCAAAGAAACCCCATTTCTTTAAACAAACAAACAAAAAATGAAACCACCCCAAGTCCCCAACTATTTTGTATCTTTATTATTACTAATTTGAAATGTTAAAAAAAAATCTTTTTGTTCCTTAGAGAAACAGTTCCTCAAGGTGTGTTTGACAGGAAAAAAACCAGCCTGTTCCATGAGTAGGAAGATCTGGGTTTGTTGGGTTAGACAAAGGTATTTCACTG